GTTCAGCATGCTTTAGGAGGGGGAAGGGAAGGGACCTGCTATCTGACTTTAAAAAAGTCTCATAATAGTGTTGATGTACCATGCTTTTTTTCCCTAGCTACTTCCACCTAGTTAACTTGATTGCACAGGGAACATTGCATGCATACATCAGTTAAGCTCTCCCAGGGTGATGAGTATCATAGGTCACAAGAATAATAATAAAAAAAGAATGTGTTTTCTGTTGGCTTTAGGAACTGAAGGAATGCACTGTAGCTTAACAGCACTTAGAATGAGCTTACAGATGTCCTCTCCAGATCTCTTATCCAGCATGCCTATCTGTTGACACCTACCCACCCTGCTCCTCCAATTATTTACTTACAAAAACCTTGAAGAAGCAGTTTCAACCAAGTAAATAACATGTGCCTGACCGAAGAGTAGGTCTCTGAACATCTCTGTTGATGCTTTTAGACAAGGGCACAGTGTCAGCATGAGGCCTTTTGCTAGTTTTCTTTGCACATGCTGTGTTTTGCATTGATTATTTTTTTTTGAACCGGAGTCTAAACTTTTGCATTTTGTGCTGATCTTTGATTTTAGGCAAACGATGACCAGCTTGTCTTAGCTTAAAGAAGAGAATGTATCAATGCTGCCCCTAAGAGTCAACACAGCTAAAGCTAGCAAGGTAGGAAAAGTTGTTTTACCTTACTTTTTGATTTGGTATTTAAATACAATCGTGCCAGCTGCGAGCTGCCAACTCCAGCTCTTAAACTACTATTTATTGAATAAGACAAAATAGGCTGTTACTTGCACAGCAGTAGTTAGAGTGCAGTACTGCAGGCTACTTCTGCTGACTGCTGATTGCCAGCAGTTCAGCAGTTCAAGTCCCACCAGCTCAAGGTTGACTCAGCCTTCCATCCTTCCAAGGTGGACAAAATGAAGACCCAGATTGTTGGGGGCAATATGCTGACTATAAACCATTTAGAGAGAACTGTAAAAGCACTGTGAAGCATTATATAAGGCTAAGTGCTATATTAAACTGTTCTGTCTCACTTTTCTTCTTTCCCAAAAGCTGAAAGAATACAAACTCACACAAACACAGGCAGGCAAGCTGGCTCGGACTTCACAGAGTTAATTCTTTGGAACTGATAATATCCTTGGCATTCCAACACCCTCTGCCTGCCAAGTCCGAACTGATAACAAATAAAAATCTACTCACAGAAAATTACAAGGCAGTCCACAAAAATCATTCACGAAGAAAATCTGAAGTAAGATTAAACTCTGTCCCGTACAAAGTTCCAGCCGAAAACACACCCACTTTTATCCCCTGTGGGGTGTGGCTCAATGACTCAGCTCACTCTCTGACTCTCCCACACCTCCTACGTTGCTGCTCACGTTTCTCCCTACGACGCTGCTTAGGATCAAGCCAACACTCTTCCTCTTTACTCCCTGTCAGGGGCTGCTCCGATATGCCTTGCTCCTGATTAATCTCAGGCTGTTCCTCTCGGTTGTCTGATGAAACCTGAGGCATTATCAGGGAGGAAGGCATTGCCAGAGAGGAAGGTCCTGGGGAGGAAGGCATTCCCAGTTCCTCCTCCTCATCTTCCAGGTCTTCTTCCTCTGACAGCATAGGCTCGGGAATCGGGGCCACAACATTAAACCATAATATTAAATCATAATATGGTGAAACTTGGATACTAACCTCAAAATTAATGTAAAAGCTAGGAGTGGTGCAAAGAGCCATGGAAAGATACATGTCTGGCATCACAAGACAAGATGTGCACATGGATTAGAGAACAAATGAAAGTATAGGATATCATCAAGAGAGTAAAAAAATGGAAATGGAAATGGGCTGGTCACATAGCAAAAAGAACTGATGGCAGGTGGATCAAGGCAGTTGTAGAATGGATCCCACTTGATAAAATGAGTCCATGAAAGAAACCTAAAACAAGATGGAGTGACAACATCAGCAAGTATTGTGGGCCCATTTGGCAAAAGAAAGCTCAGGGTCGTATTGATTGGAAACATGTGGAAGAGGCCTTCATCCTGCAATGGACAGACAATGGCTAAAATGATGATGATGATGATTAAACAAAAAGAAAAACCTACCTCATGGCAGATCATAATACAACTGGTTGCCAGTTGCCAATTTAATTGTCTCCAAATGGGACCATTCAGTCATATGGGTGGTCACATTCTCCTGTTAAATCCCTTCACCCCAGCAGGACAGAGTATGGCTTAAGAGCTCCTTCATATCTTTCTGTTTTTCTGTGGAGAATTAAATATGTGTAATAGAATTAGTTGAGATATTATAAAATGTTACATGATATAAGTATTTTTTTTAGTATCCTTCAGCTTCCATTCAATCCCTAGTTCAGAGGTCTTTGAACTTGGCAACTTTAAGACTTGTGGACTTCAACTCCCAGAATTCTCCAGTCAGTTATGCTGGCTGGAGAATTCTGGGAGTTGAAGTCCACAAGTCTTAAAGTTGCCAAGTTTGGGGACCTCTGCCCTAGTTACCCCATGGCTATGTTGAGTAGATTTCTTGGCAACCAACCATGCAGAAGCCTTTTCTTCAAACTCAGACCCCCTTCTTCCTCTTCCTCTTCCTCTTAGCAGAACATGTCCAAGGCAAAGATTGTCGTTGTTGGTGCCGGTCTGATCGGTTTATCCACAGCTGTGTACATTTCGGACTCCATTCCAAACTGCAGTGTGTCTGTCATGGCTGATAGATTTTCTCCTCACACGACCAGTGACGTTGCTGCAGGAATGCTTATCCCACATCTTTATTCAGGCAAGCAAAATTTACATTTCGTAAAGCAAAATCTGAAGTTATCCAAGTATTTATATTATGCCTATTTTCCCCCGATTTTTACTTTGTAGCCCCGAAATCAATTTTCTAGGAAGTACAGCCCTTCCAGTCTTTTAACTGGTACATTTTGAGCAGTGGTGGGATTCAATTTTTTTTTACTACCGGTTCTGTGGGCATGGCTTGGTAAAATCTGTAAAATCTCCAGTCAGAGGTAGTATTTGCCAGTTCTCCGAACTACTCAAAATTTCTGCTACCGGTTGTCCAGAACTGGTCAGAACCTGCTGAATACCACCTCTGATTTTGAGTAAGACAGCTGAAGCTGTTGTAATTTATTCAGAAAGAGACACTATCTGCTTATCTTTAAGACTGGATGCCTTTCTAAATTTTCCAGAGTAACTCCATGCTGTATGTGATGGTACAAGCTATTACTTTTCCTGGACAGCGTTAAGATGTTAAGTGTTAAATCACCAAATAAATTGTCCATGTCAGGAAGAGTCTATCTTATCTTAATTCTTGGGAATAATAGTTTCCTGCTATTTTACACATGCCATTCTAGTACAGATATTATATTCCATGACACAATTGTTGTGGATGATAGTGGTGATGATGATGATGACAATGATGATACAAATTGTTTGGCAATAGGTTCCCAACACATGCATATATCCTACAATTGGCCTATATGGGACTTTCTTACTTCATCTATAAATGTTCACGTGATTTTGATTTAAACTCCTCATTTCTTGCATTTTTAGACTCTACAAAGGGGGAGTCTCAATAAGGACAAAATGTGATGCTGACTTGTTTTACTTGCCCTCCTTCTAATAAGTAATTGATGTAGCCAAATTCTGAAGGGTATCAATAACAGAAAAACCAGGAGTGGGAGAAGCTTTCTTGGAGCCATTTTTTTTGCTCAGGATACTCTACAGTTGCCCTCATTTTGTGAAAAAAATGTAACACACTTAAAGGATTTTATCCTTCATGGTTTAGAAATTGCAAATGGGATGGCCTAAGTTCCCTGTAAAATCAGCAGGCCAAGGCCGCCTTAGAGGTTGCCCACTGTGTCTGCCATTATGTCTCAATGACTATGCCACAGCCTCTTCTTTATTCTGAATTCTTGTCCAGAGGGCAGGACAAGAAGTAATGGATGGAAGCTTGTTAAAGAGAGAGCCAATCTAGAAGTAAGGGGAAATTTTCTGATAGTGAGGACAATTAATCAATGGAATAGCTTGCTTCCCGGAATGGTGGATGCTCCATCAGGGGAGGTTTTGAAAAATAAACTGGACAGCCATTTGGGATCATATAAGGCTCCTGACTTGAGCAGGGGTTGGACTAGAAGACCTCCCAGGGCCCTTCCAGCCACATGATTCTATGTTCTATAAATTTATAACTACCACTGCGTCTCACCATATGTACTAGCCGTTTATCTTGGGAGCTAGTGGCTCCTGTTTTCAGCTGCATTTATAGTTAGGACTCACGGGGAGAATCAACCATCATTTTGTGTTATTAGCCTCTATGCAAACCAAACTATTGTCTCACATCACTTTATTCCACATGTTTAGCGAAATGTGGAGAAATGGGATATTAGGAAGAGTTCTACTCTTGCTGGAGGAGAGGAGTGGGAAAAAGAGCACTGTGATTTCTCCTTCTCTTCTTCAACTCCTTGTGTTTTTGGAAAATTTGTCCTGGAAGTCTGGATGACCCTCCAAAATAGCATGAATAGTATGGGGATTTGGGGTGTGTGAGACCCCATCTTTATCCCTTTCCTCCTGTGTGAAATCTCTGCTTGATTCTCAAAACCTTCCATTAGCAGTTTGTATCCAATAAATAAATTTCAGTGCAGCCCATTTTATGTCTGCTTTTTCTAGGTTTTCTTAAAATGCTTTCCCTCCATTTGAAATCTGTTTTCTTTCTTCTCTACAGGCACACCTGTTGATCAGCAGAAGCAGTGGTTTAGGGAAACTTTCGACCATCTGTTGTCCATCTGCAATTCTCCAGAGGCCTCAGAAGCTGGGATTCACTTGGTATCTGGGTGAATATAGAATTCATTAATGCTTTTGTGATTTCTTTCAGCATTGTGCTGAGCAAGCCTCTTTATTGGGGCAAATTCGGGAGGCATGTAATACTGGTGGGGACCAGGAGACAACCCTAGTCTTGAGTTCTGCAGAAGAAAAACAGAATACAAACATTTATTTTAGAATTATATCTCGTGATCCTTAAACTGGGTTTAGAATTTATTTAGGGAAACATTAATATGTTGCACCGGCACTTGTTTTTGTCTTTTAAAAATGAGAGTTTCAGTTTTCAAAAGCCTGGGCTTGGGCCTATAATTTTTATAATGTGCTGCTGATAAACAGTACTATAAGAGGTTCACTGACTTCTCGCAGTACTTTATACTCAAAGGCAGGTTTGATGTTAAATGCCAGTTATCAGCAAGTAACATCAGAAGATAGAATTGCTCTCAAGTCCTGCCTCTGTGGGACTTCCCACAGTGCATCTGATTGGTGACTGTGACAAATAGGATGCGGTGCTAGATTGATTTTGGGTACATTTAGTTGGACTTCTCTTTGTTCACACAGAAAGTTGTGATGGAATTGGGAATTTTGGGATGGCTGAACAGAGGGAGGGGGAAAAATCTGAATATGACCATATCTCAACTGGGGAAAGAAGCCTAAGGTTGTATTTGGGAGGATCATAATACTGAACACAACCCGTTTATCTTGTTAATTGGCTCTGCTGGTGGGGCTGATTATAAATCTCTTCTATACAATATACCATTTATGTAGAAGGTATATAATAAAAGCTCCTTCTAATATTCAGAGGCTCCAGGGCAAATGTGGAGTTACGTGCATCTATACGCTGCCTTGCCCTGTTTTGCTTGCACAAAACAGTGTGGTTTGTACAGTTAACCATGAGATATGTATAGAACTCTGGATTACTAATTATTATTAATTCTTTTTTCCTGCCTTTCTTTAGCCGAGTTACTGGAAAATTCCAGTCTGTGGGTAGAACCAGTTGCTTACAAAACCAGTTTCAAAATAAGAAAACAGTGGGTGTGTGCAATAGCAGAAGTTTGTACATTCCTGTGGTCAATATTTTGCAACATTGTTTTTCTCAGCACTTTTGTGTTTTGTTCAGGGGTCAACAAAATGACTTGCCTGCTCTTTAGAGCAGGGGTCGCCAACCTTTTGGACCTCAGGAACCACCAAACATATAATTTTAAATCCCGCGGACCAGAGACCCTGGGAAAATCCCCCCAAAAGTCTGGAGGAAAATTCCCCACCCCATTTTCCTACCGATTGATCATTCTTTATTTGGGATCGCAGGATACCATCTCCAACTCCGTTCTCAGGGGGAGAGAGAGAGAGACTTTTGGCTTCATGCAAGGAAAGCAGCAGAAGAAGCAGGAGTCTTTGTTTCTCTCCCGCAAACTCCACCAGAATGGCGCAGCCTCTTGGAGCAGGATGTCTTGCAGGGTTCCAAAGACTCATTTCTGGCAGAGTTTGGGGGAGAGAAAGAAAGACTTTTGCTGCTTTCCTTGGGTGCAGCCAAAAGCAGAAGAGGAAAGAAGCAAAAAGAAGCAGCCTGGTGGCCAGACAATGCACATGGGGCAAGTGGGGCAAATTCCTCCCCTCTGCCCTTTCCCCCCTCCCCTCACTACTTTGTGTTGTTCGCAATGCAAGCGACACAAGCCTTGTGTTCCCACGGGGCATGTGGGTGGTGCAGCCTTGTGTTCCTGAGCAGCCTGGATTAATTGCTTTGGGCGTGACATTTCTCTGCGAACCACCAAAATTTTCTCACGGACCACCAGTGGTCCCTGGCCCTCTGGTTGGCGACCACTGCTTTAGAGCAGTCCTTGCTTCCCATCTTCTATACTCTGTTTATAGCTGTAAGATGGCAGTGTTGCCAGTTGAAACTTAACTCCAGTTGCACTCATCACCAAGAGGCAGTACATGACCAGGTTTATCCTTATTTGGATTCCTCAGATTTAAGTATTCTATGGGATTCAAACCTTTCACCAGGAATTAAACTCATAGACCATCATACTTTTAGATGACGGCATATGATGGCATATGGTGCGTTGGCTTTAACAGCTACCTAAGTCCTAAGGCTAACAGCTTCAGGAAAGGATGTCTAAAAGTTCCATCAAGATAGTGTATATCCAGTCCACTTTGCCTTAAGCTCTCCAAGCAGAGAAATAGCAGATGTTATCTTAGGTCATGCCCCTATGTACTGTATCCCACACATGGGAAGTCCTGGAAAACTCCATATAGCTCTAGCAGAGATTTTTCTTGGCCTCCCCATGCTTGGTTGCTTTTTCTTGGCTTTGGTAGTTAAGTTTAATATTTTTAAAACAATATTTTTCTTAGTTGAACTTGCTGCTTGGAATTATTTAGAGATACCTTGTCCTCTTTTATAAACATGAATTGTCTTTATTTTCTAAGGCTTAGATATATGCTTAGAGGAGCCCAGGACAAACAGAACCTGAGGGGTTAAAAAGATTAGAATGGCTAACTGTAGCCTACTGAATCATTTACCGTATTTTCCAGACTATAGAGCGCATCGGAATATAAGCTGCACCCACTAAATTTTAAAAGAAAAAAATATTTTTACATATATTAGCCGCACCAGACTATAAGCCGCAGATATATACGTTGTGAAATGAGATATTTACACAGAAAGATTTTGTAAATGTTTATTTATATGCTTAATTGTTTCCAAACGGTACCTGTAACACGGCAGTAAAACGGCTGAACAAACAAAACAGAAAAGTCATTAATGTTTTTATTCATCCTCCTCCTGTGCACTGAAACCACTGAAGTCGTCTTCTTCAGTGTCGCAGCTGAAGAGCCTCAGAACATCTCCATCACACACCTTTTCAGTCTCTCTGTCGGTGTCGCTCTCAATGTCACTTTCATCTCGAGGCACAGTTACCGATGAAGTTGCGCTGTTCTCTCCACGCAGCAGTCCAGCCTTTTGAAACCCCTTGGTGATCGTGGATTCTTTCACACTGCTCCACGCTGTTAGGATCCACTGGCAGACCTCAGAAAAGAATGCTCTTTGCATGCGGCCAGTTTTTGTGAATGATTTCTCTCCGCTGGTCATCCAAGCCTCCCACTCACCTTGGAGTGCCGCTTTAAATGCACGATTCACACTGATGTTGAGTGGCTGCAAAAACTTAGTTGTACCTCCAGGAATCACAGCTGGAATTGAGTTTGTTCCCTTGATGGCTGCTTTCACAGAATCTGTTATATGGGCCCTCATACTGTCCAAAACAAGCAATGATTTTTTCTGGTGAAAAAATCCTCCCAGGCGCTTACTGTAGCACTCCGTCAGCCATTCAGTCATTAGGCTTTCTATCATCCACCCTTTTTTGTTAACTTTAACGACTATGCCTTTTGGGAGCTTTTCTTTTGGCATAGTCATCCGCTTAAAAATCACCATCAGTGGAAGCTTCTGTCCGGATGCGGTGCAGCTCAAAACACATGTGAAATGCGTTCTCTCGTGGCCAGTTGTTTTCACCATAATGGATGATGCTTCTGTCTTGTTAACAGTTCTAGTTAGAGGCAGGTCAAACGGTGAAGGTACTTCATCCATATTTATGATGTCGTCTGGTCCGATGGAATTCTGGGCTAGTTTTGTTTTAATAAATTTGTGGAAGTTTGCAACTTTTTCCTCGTAGTCGGAAGGGAGTTGCTGACAGACAGTCGTCCGCACCCTGATGGACAGATCTTTTCGTCTCATAAATCTACAACACCATGACGGTCCACCTTTAAAATCTTCAATACCCATTTCGCTGGCGATTGTTTTAGATTTCAGCCGGATCTGCACGGTGGATACACCTCGGCCGTCTGCTCTCTGTGTGTTCACCCAGTCCTCAAGAACATTTTCAAGTTTAGGCCATCTGCTTTTATGACCTCTGAAAGCCTTTGTTGTCCTTTGGCATTGAATCAGTTCTTCACGCTGCCGTCTCCAACGTCTCACCATTGATTCATTAACGCCAAGCTTACGTGCAGCGGCTCTATTTCCTTCCTGGATAGACAGATCGATTGCTTTCAACTTAAAAGCTTCATCATGTGCTTTTCTTCGTGTACTTTCTATGATAAGGGTGTGAAAAATATTTTGCGTTCATGCGTGTCATGCTGTTTGCGTCGAGCGCGCCAAAAACTACCGGTAGCATCTTCTTTGCATTGACCTCTTGCGTCTGTCACATTTTTGCGCCCCCTGATGGCAGTTAGCGAAGAAAAATCTATAGATAAGCCGCATTGTCATAGGGTTCAAAGCCATAGGGTTCAAAGCATGGGAAAAAAGCGGCTTATAATCTGGAAATATACGGTACTTCTTCAAGCCTAATTAACAGTTTTATAGTGACAACAACAAAAACAAACTAGCACTGACACAACTGGAAAGGTATCCAAACTTCTATATCTACATATTCACTGGTTTTTTTATTTTGAATTTGTGAACAGTGAATAGTAAATATGTATTCAAATTTGCAGAAATATATGTTTAATTATGGAACATGCAGAAGCTGCCACACCTTATATTTATTTAAAGCTAATTAAAATATACAGCTTGATTGATGGTGCCTAAACATCATATTAATGTGGATTAGGAACTCAGTTTTGCTGGTTTTATTTGGTGAATTTTTAAAAGCTTGGTTTTGAAAAATTATTTCAGGGTGGGGACTGGGGAGAGACCATTAACACCAAGAATGTCTGTGTTTTACACTCTTATTCTCTTGAATATGAACAAGCTGGCAAATATTTAAGGACATTCCTGAGGAGGAGGTGCCATTCTGGTCTGATGTGGTTCTGGCCTTTCGCTCAATGACTGAAAAGGAGCTGAAGAAATTTCCACAACACAAATATGGTCAAGCTTTTACCACACTGAAATGTGACTGCCCATCGTATTTAATTTGGCTGGAGAAAAGGTATGGGTTTTACGTAAGATTGAAATGCAGCAATACAATAAAGAAGTATGATCTAAAACATTTGGTGCATTTTACACTTAATCCTTCATTTCCCCACTTCATTGGTCCTTTCCTGTCAAACTTACATAATGCTGGAACAGGATAAGACCTGGTTTTTAGGTATGTCTATTGTGGCGAACTAAATCCCAGCAAGCAAATATAATATAATCTCTTGTCAGTTAACGTTTTCTTTTTGAGCACACCTCCTTATAATATAGTATTTACAGGTTAACTTTTACATGGAGATTCAGGGATAAGGGGATTTTTCTTCTTAAAAACCTACAGGTTACTATTAATAGGTAATTGTGGGCAGGTAATTTAGAAAGATGTCCCACCATATGTAAAATTCCTCTCTGTCAGACCTGTGACTTTAAAAGCAGGAATCAGTAATTGTGTCACTCTGCACTGATATATTTCCTATGTGTGTGTTTCTCTTCACCACCATAAGATCCAACATAAGATCCAACCAAATCTGGGGAATTAGAATATAAGATATGGCAAAGTTAGAGGAAAATACTTGTTACCCCACCAAGCATTCAGGAGACAGCTTCAGAATCCTAAGATGTAACATTTTGGTGTCCTTTTGTCAAATTAGCAAAGTCGACTGTCCAACAAGATCAAGTAAAAGATCATTTATTATGGATCTTAATGTGCCTAAATTAATTTAATTATGTTCTAAATCACTACTGCAAGGTACTTTATCTTGGAACTTTGCATTAACTAGATTTCCAGCTTGAGGCATTTGATTGCATTGAGCCTATTATTTGACACACTCTATTAGTGCAACCCAGTGGTGGAATTCAACTTTTTTTTACTACTGGTTCTGTGGGCATGGCTTGGAGAGCATGACAGGGGAAGGATACTGTAAAATCTCCAGTCAGAGGTGGTGTTTGCCAGTTCTCCAAACTACTTAAAATTTCCGCTACCAGTTCTTCAGAACTGGTCAGAACCTGCTGAATACCACCTCTAGTGCAACCCCATATAGGCAGTTTATAATCTTGGGTTATAATTTATGTTGATTATACCTTCTGATTTAACTCTGAATATGAATTAAGCTGTATATGAATTAAGATAGCCATGGTGAAAATTTCAATGGTGTATACATTGGAATTCAGCCAAAGACCCTGAAGTTCTTGTAATTAAAAACAGAAGGATATATGGGAAGATTGCAAAGGAAGGACTTTGTAATTTGGAAACCCTTGTACAAATGTAAGAATGTGGCTGGACAATTATATGATGGAAGCTTTGTCCAGCGACAACCCAAGATCCATTTATCCCAGCAGCTTCCTTCAACAGTGATTGTAAAAACTGAAGAACATGTCTGTTGGAGCAGACCAGCCTCTTTGCTCGGGCAATGGTCAAGCCAAACTCATGAGATGCAATCAGGCAGGATCTGAAGATAATTGCTCTCTACCATTGTTGGCTTTACTCAGGAAGACAGCTTTTGTGTTATAGGCCAGAGATTTTGTGTTATAGGCCAGAGACATGGTGGCTCAGTGGCTAAGATGAGCTTGCCGAGGATGAGCTTGCCGAGGTCGGCAGTTCGGCAGTTCGAATCCCTAGCACCGTGTAACAGAGTGAGCTCCTGTTACTTGTCCTAGCTTCTGCCAACCTAGCAGTAATGTAAAAATGCAAGTAGAAAAATAGGGACCACTTTGGTGGGAAGGTAACAGTGTTCCGTGTGCCAAAGCATGCCAGCCACATGACCATGGAGACATCTTTGGACAGCGCTGCCTCATCGGCTTTGTAACGGAGATGAGCACCACCTCCTAGAGCCGGAAACGACTAGCACGTATGTGTGAGGGGAACCTTTACCTTTACCCTTTTAAATATTTTGACATTTTTATGGTTTTGCATTCAAGAGTGAGGTGATGGAGAGCACAAGTCAAATATTACCAAAAGTTAGCTGGTTATTAGGTTGTATTGCTGTTTTGTATACTGTATTCAGCTCTGGATTTCTTGTTTTACAGTAATTATCCATGAGTGCTTTTTCTTCTCCCAATCCTACCTGCTGTCTCATGGGACACCCAGGCCCTGTCATGTTTCATTTTTTAAAACAACACTGAACATCGTACTGAGGCTCAGGGAAGCTCCAGGAACCATTTAATATTTGTCAGGTGGACTTATGGGCAGAGGCTTCAGTTGCGTCTCATTTCTGTTTTACCCTTTTGTGATTTCCCACCGGAGTTTCCTTTCCTCCGTGCAATGCCCTGGCACAAACCCATTGCAGTGGGGGCTGATCAGCTTCCTTGAACGATGGCCTAGGTCCAGCGAGCTGAAAAACACGATTACAATTTCTACGGATAAATGTGCAGTTTATTAAACATCATTTCAGTGTCCCAACCACTATTGCTGGTACTTTATCAAAAGACACCCAAAGGGAATCAGTAATAACCACTTGACTGGAATCCATAAACCACTAAAGTGGATAATAAGGATTTTCTTTGGGAGGCAGCCTCTGCTCTGAAGGTGGCATAGCTTGCAAATCTATTCAGTTATAAAAACTTCTGCCAAGTTCAGATCTTAAAACGATTGCATGTTGGCACAAACTGGGAAATAGGAAACTAAGATTGAACTTTAACAAATATGCCCTGTGACGATATTGTGTAATGTCCAACAAAGGTTCACATGCTTCATTAAGCAGTCCAGGACTTTGGGATGAATGCTGTGGGTAGCAGGAGTTCTTTCATCCGTGTTAAGTTGTAATTGTTGCTTTTTATTAACTGGGCAGATTTCCCAAATCAGACTTCTCATAATGTCTGGGAGGATCAAAGAGGATTGTGTTTTTGAGCAGAAACCCAACAGCACTTTTACCCATTAGGATCCCAATCCATATCATCAAGAAAAATAGACATTTCTTATAGAATCCTGTAAATTTCTTATGCAAAAATGAAAATTCGGGACATTTTGGCTTAAGAACAAAACTAACATTTGCCGAGAAACAAACTGAACCATACATGCAAACTCAGGTCTAACCAAAATGTCCTGTATTGTCTGACATACAGCAAAGACAAAGTGGCACAGGGAAACTTTTATTTACTAGTGATTTCCTCATGATTTTCATAAAATTCAGAATCTGTTTGAAACATATTTTTTTGAAGTTTCAGACTGGATGCCTCAGTTTGATGACACTTCTATCTTACACACTATCTTGACACTTAGTTTTCACAATTGCTATGTGGTATTAAGCCCCAATAAACAAAAACCTAGCAGTTTTGTGAGAACAGAACATTCAGTGTGATTCTTTGGATCCTGACTGCAGTTTTTGTGGATCCACATTAAAGAAGGGAACCAATTATGGTGGCAAGGGGAATCTATAATTAGCTGGATATTTCCCATAGGCTATTCAAAATCTTTTCTTTGCTCCAAAAACACAAACTCTTCTTTTTTTAAAAAAAATGCCATCAATCATAATTTTAATTGCAAAGTAGAGTAGAGTAGAATACAATAGAATAGAACAGAACAGAATAGAATAGGAAGGGACCTTGGAGGTCTTCTAGTCCAGCCCCCTGCTCAAGCAGGACAACCTATACCATTTTAAATAAGTGACTGTCTAGTCTCTTCTTAAAACCTCCAGGGATGGAGTGCCCATGATTTCTGAAGGCAAGCTTCAGAATTAAGGAGAAACCAGTAGAACACTGGTTAATTGGCCTCCCTGTTAGGAAGTTTCTCCTAAATTCCAGCTTGCTTCTCTCTTTGATTAGTTCCCAACCATTGTTTCTTGTCCTGCCCTTTGGTGCTTTGGAGAATAATTTGATCCCCTCTTCTTTGTGGCAGCCTCTCAAATACTGGAATACTGCTATCATGTGACCCCTAATTCTTCTTTTCTTTAGACTAGCCAAGCCCAAATCCTGCAGCCATTGTTCATATGGTTTAGTCTCCAGGCCTTTGACCATCTTATTTGCTCTTCTTTGAACTTTTTCCAAAGTGTCAACAATTTTTTTGTAGTATGGTGACCCAAATTGGTTGCAGTATTCCACGTGTGGCCTTACTAGGGGTTTTATAAACCAATACTAATACTTCACGTGATCTTGATTCTATGCCTCTGTTTATACAACCCAGGATTGTATTAGTATTTTTGGCTGCTGCTGCACACTGCTGGCTCATATTCAAGTGATCATCCAGTAGGACTCCAAGGTCCCTCAATAAATGGTTACTGTTTTTGAGCCAGGTCTTGCCTAATCTGTTTCCTGCCTAAATGTAAAACTTTGCTTTTCTCCATATTCAAATTCATTTTGTTGAATTGGACCCATTGTTCAAGTTTGTCAAGATCATTTTGGATCCTGATCTTGTCTTCAGTGGTGTTAGTTATTCCTGCCAGTTTAGTGTCACCTGCAAATTGAATAACAATTTTTCAGGAATAAGGTGTCACATCATTTTGATGAGTGCCTTTCCTTATTAGTGAAACTTGTAGCTGAAAACTGATAACCAAAGGCAAAAAGATATATCCTGTACTGTTTTCCTACATACATGTTTCCTCTTTGTTGTCATTTTGATGGGATTTGTGCCATAGGTATCTGGCAGAAACCACAATATCCCATGTATTATGATGTCATAATGCATGGGATGTTGTGGTTTCTGCCAGATACCTATGGCACAAATGGTTTGAATTATATCGTTTGCATCCTGTGATATAATATAATATAAATGAGGCACAGTTCAAAATGTGTTTGTGTCATGATGTTGTGACATGTGATGACCTACCAACATACATACGTGATTTGGGCTTCTCTTTACTCACTTCAGTTTTGCATTTCAGATTTGTGATCTCACTCTTTGAACTATGTGATCTAAGTAAAACATTAGCCATAGAGGATTCAAAAGTGTTGTATTTTGACCTCTGACGTATTCTTTATAGGCTGAAAGAAAATGGAGGCCAGGTGCATGCAAGGAAAATAGAAGATCTTTGGGAACTACACCATGACTTTGACATCGTAGTAAACTGCTCAGGCATTGGTTCCAGAAAACTTACAGAAGACCTAGAGATATACCCCACTAGAGGGCAAGTTCTCAAGGTTCATGCTCCTTGGATCAAGCACTTCATTCGTGATGGTGATGGTCTGACCTACATCTATCCAGGGATACACAATGTAACATTAGGTGGGATAAGAGAAAAAGACAACTGGAATTTGTCCCCGGATCCCATTATCAGCAAAAACATATTTGACAGATGTTCCGCACTTGAGCCTTCCCTTCGGACAGCTGAGAATATAAAAGTGAGAGTGGGCCTGAGGCCATCTCGGTCAGCTGTGAGAGTACAGAAGGAGGTACTGACTCACAAGCACGAGAAGTTGCTGGTGGTTCACAATTATGGCCATGGGGGAGGTGGTTTTTCAATACACCGGGGTACTGCCAAGGAGGCAACTCAGCTGGTTAAGGAGTGCCTTGAAACCCTGGCAATACCTGGGTGTAAAGCAAAGCTGTAAATAGGAAAGAAACATTTCTCTTTTGATCCAGTAGTCTGTGTAGAGCTAGGATCTTGGGTGCGATGTAAAATCTGGAGGAATGTCATCCATGCTGATTTCATGTCAGTCACTTATGGCAATTGCTCAGTGCTTGTGGTCCTCTTAGGAAAACATCAAGCACTAAGACCGAAGGGAAGAAGGACCACCTGCTAGACTTCCCTCATCAGTAAGACCCTAGCTTAGAACCTTCAACTTTTTACAGCTAATTCATGGGAAGCAACCACCCCAGTTGTATATGTAGGTTTACACTGTTGTGCAGTTCATCTGTGGATATGGAGGTGACTCTTCAGTCCCAATCTGGAAATGCAGACTCTAGTCCAACGGGGCTACATCATTGCAATAACTGCGGCTGTTAATTCTATGTGTTAATTCTGTTCATGGTTTTCTATCTGGCTCCAAAGCCTATGCAGACTTTGTAGTTCCTTATTACTCATTTATCAGGAAGTCCTTTTTACCCATTATAGCAGGGGTGTCAAACATGTGTTGTCAGGGTGGCATCATGTGACATATCGAGACTTTCCCTCCCTTTGCTAAACCGGGCGGGGGCGGGGGCGGCATTCACGGCCCACAGGCTCGCATCCGACTCGCTGGCCGTGAGTTTGACACTCCTGCATTATAGGTGTAGCATTTTCACTTTTAATTTCCCTGTTGTGATTGGGCAATGGGTTTGTGGATCATTATCTAAGGAAAAACCAGTTTTATCCCATTTTAACCCAGATTTGGGGAGCACTGGGTTAAAGTGTTGAATTAGGAATAGGGAGGAACTAATTTCAGCTCCACCATTAATCATGGCCATTCATTAGGGATTTTGGCTTGATCATGTTCATTCCCAGCTCAGCCTAGCTAATTGGGGAAGAAGGGAGAAACGAGTGTTATGTATGCTCCCAAGAGCTCTTGAACTAAAGGAAGGAGAGACATGAAAGAAGTGAATAAATATGAAGGGAGATAAAAAGACTTCTTGCTGGGCTGAAACTTTGCTGAAACAAGAATGGTGCTAGTTTGTTGACTACCTTCAAGTCCTTGCTTGATTCTTTGGCCCTCAAGCTCAACCAAAAGTTCACCCTTCCTGCGCCTTTTGCCGGCTCTACTTATCTCCAGCACCTGTTAATAATTGTCAATAAATATGGCAAGATGCCATATGGAAATTTGGGACCCTATACTCAAATACTGCTGGATTAGCAGGCACCAGTTGGGAAAGCTGCTTCACCAATTTAAGTCATCACCTGGTTGCTGAAATCATCAAGAGATAGGCATTTAATCCAAATATGCTGAATGATCTTGCTTGCGTATTCAAAATGTTTTGTCAAATTCCTACGACGGAGGAAAATACCGCATGTATACGGCAGTTTGAATTTTATTACCAAATATTGTATTTTAATATTCATACATAATTGACTGCATTAGGTAATCAGTTACAGCTTACATTTAGAAATATGCCATGATCTTGGTCAAGGCTGGTATCAGTGAAATAAAATGTCCTTGTGATGGCTTATCTTTTCTATCTGCACATTTCTTCTCCTTCTACCAGAAGAGGGCAGTATTGGATCAGTCACTTATTTGGCTATTCTTCAAAATTTACCCACTGTGTTTTTCCTGCATTCCCCCCCCTCCCCCAAAAAAAAGGTGTCCCAGGAAGTAACCATCTCTTATTTAAACAGACACCCCCATGCACCACAATAGACCACAATGTATCAGAAATGTGTGTTGTGTTAGGTCTAACATATCTGGGATGAAATGCCACCTGGCTGTTAGAGTGCAGTAAAAAGACCGAGAAAACCTAACTCTTGATTGCTATCTAGTTATCTGGATTTTTGCAGATGAGAACCAGTACCTCTGCTGGGACTTTCAGAATGGGACTCTCTCATTCATTCTAGTGAGCTTGTTGTTATTCCAACATAGAGCTCTTGGGCAGTTTATGAATAGAAGAAGGTGGAAAAAGTTGAAGGGTAGGCCATGAGGTCAACGTAATGTCTTCCACTAAAGTCAACCCTTACAATGCCAAACTGCACCTTTGCTCTACCTCCACCAGAGTTTAATCTGACTCCTTTGCCTACATTTTGGATGGCAGTAGGGACTTCGGCAAGACCAGTAGAAGTGGGGACTTGTCTGCATGGGGAGAATTTGTGGAGTGTGTGACATAGCAAAATCAATAGCACTTAGACTTATATACCACTTCAGAGTGCTTTACAGCTTTCTCTAAGCGGTTTACAGAGTCATCATGTTGCCCACAGTGATCTGGCTCCTCATTTTACCCACCTTGGAAGGATGGAAGGCTGAGTCAACCTTGAGCCTGGTGAGGATCGAGCTCCTGGCAGCTGAATTAGCCTACAATACTGCATTCTAACCATTACGTCGCCACAGTTCATGCATATAGATGTATGCATGAATGAATTTTAAAGCATTGAACTCTAGCTAAGAAAGAACAATGCTTTATCTTACTAGATTTTGCTTCCATCACTGCCATTTGGCTGCTTTTATAAGGGAGAAATCAATAAGGTGTATGCTAATCTCGACACTAACAGCTGACATTGCTTTATGGAATCATTAGTTAAAAGGCAGCAACTAGCTTACTGAATCTAAGGCTATCACTTGGATGGGCTGCAGTACTCAAGATGACTAGAGCAGCACTTTTTTTAAAAAAAAGTACCTTTATTACCATCTAGTGGTTATTCAGATTTTTCTTCATTATATGGCTATTCAGACTGAATGCCTTGAATAAATGGGATATACAAAGCCATGTAGAATAGACACTGTGTACGTATTGGTTGTTATTCTTCCTCTAAGCAACTCAGAGCGAGGGGGAAGAGAGAGAGAGAAAGAGAGAGAGAATGAGAATATCTCACTAAACTTCATGGACTTTTTTTCTGAATCAGCATCAATAGAATTCTCTTGCCAAAATGCTATTTTTCCGTCTTAACATTTTTCAGAGAAAGGTTAGGCTGAGACAGGTATTTCTCTTAAATATGTTTTTCTTGACTTGACAAAGGAGCTATTTGAAATTGATGAAGCTGCCTGGGGAAGAAGAGTGCCAGCATTTCTCCATCTAGAATACCTGAGAGGCCAAGAAGGCTACTACAAATTTGATGACCCCTTTCATGCAGAATTTCCTGGTTGGAAGATAATTGTTTTCCTCTGACAACCCAAATGCTGCTTTCTGAGATCTTGGGATTTGCCTTGACTGAACACCAGAAATGCAACTTTGAAGGGATTCAGCAAGAACGATGGGGCTCCAGGCATCCTTTGGCGGTGATGGTCCTGGACCTGCACCTTCTCCAGCTTAAAAGATGTAGAGATGCTATGAGAAAAAGGGCTGCTGCTGCTATTTAACCATATTTTCCATTTGTCTCAGGAAATCTCATTTTGATTGAGATGAACAGAAAGCCTTTGAACCAAAGGAATTAATGCACGCTGGCAACCGCATTTCAAAACCAGACTCTGGTGGCTGCAAGTCTTAATAGGGTTTTCATTGTGAGCCTGTGCATTGATATTCTTAAAGCGGAGTCAACAAAGGGAGCAGGAAGGGGGTTCAGTTAACTTCATTAAAATTCCATGTGTGATGAGAGAGAACTCTTTAAATTAGTTACTCCCTGGTTTAGCAGATGGGGATCAGCCCCTAGGGGCAAAATTGGCAAGGCTTGTTAGGTAAGAGATAGATCTGTTATGGAATGGAGAGAAGACTGTGTTTCTTTGCATCCTGGGAAGAAAAAATGCTACCTCCGCAGCAGATTTCAACTCTTCTCAACATTTCTGGGTAAATCTTAAGACAGAAGATAAATTATAAGCAGCCAGGCAGTTTGGTTTGGCTCCCTTCATCCTCCGCCCCAGCATTTCCATTGCTCTGGGGATTGTCTTCCTGTATTTGCTGCGTGGATGATTAAAAACAAGTTAGAAATCATTAAACTACCCCAAAGAAATATACAAATAACATTTCCTCTATTTCTCAGAAGCTTATCAAATGGAAAGCAGTAAGAGAAATGGGAGTGAAGAGGCATAAGATAAATGTCATTTGCTATTTATTCTTATTTGATTGCAGATCATGTATGGGAGATGTAGCATGGTCTGCAATAACTGGATAAACATTTATGGAACTCCTACTGTATCACCATTTCCCCAGCAAATGAATAGAATGGAATAGAATTCTTTTATTGGCCAAGTGTGATTGGACACACAAGGAATTTGTCTTGGTGCAAATGCTCTCAGTATACATAAAGAAAAGATACATTCGTCAAGAGTCAAGAATCATGATGTACAACACTTAATGATAGTCATAGGGTACAATAAGCAATCAAATCATACTAGGAAACAGTCCATATAAATTGCAAGGATACAAGTGACAAAGTTACAGTCATACAGTCATGTGGGAGGGGATGGGTGATAAGGAGTGATGAGAAGATTAAGAGTAATAGGAGGGCATTAACTTTGTTAATAGTTGGACAGTGTTGAGGGAATTATTTGTTTAGCAGAGTGATGGCTTTCGGGGGAAAACTTGTATCTAGTCGTTCTGGTGTGCAGTGCTCTATAGCATCGTTTTGAGGGAAGGAGTTGAAACAGTTTATGTCCGGGATGTGAAGGGTCTGTAAATATTTTCACAGCCCTCTTTTTGACTCGTGCAGTATACAGGTCCTCGATTGAAGGCAGGTGGGTAGTAATTGTTTTTTCTGCAGTCCTAATTATTCTCTGAAGTCTGTGTCTGTCCTATTGGGTTGTTGGGATGATAGATTCAATAATTCCTTTGTAGCAGCTCCTTGGGCAGTTTGAGCTTTCTGAGTTGACGCAGAAAGAACATTCTTTGTTGTGCTTTTTTGATGACATTTATGATGCTTAATAATGCTTAGTATCAGGCCTTTCCCTCCTTAAACAGTTGGGAGGGACACCAATCCACAAGGGTGATGGCTATGAAACTCCATGTAATACCACCCAACTCTGTACAAATCATACAGATGCACACATGCAGATTTGAATCATTGTGTCCCCTCTGCACCACAAAATCATTGCATAACGTAATCTTCAAGGAGAAAAGCAGAGAGCTGTTGAGGTGATAACAATGCCGAATGGGACAAGTCAGCGCTGCCGAATCGCCATGGCCAATTCAGCCACAGGACAACTTGCGCCGGGACAATTCAACGATTCAATTAAATTATTTTAAATAATGTAAGAATTATTTTTTTTGTCATTCATATTTCATTTCATCCCTCCCTCCTTTGGCATCCTTTCCTTAATTATTCTATTCCACTATTTCTTCTATATTAATGTTACTGTTCTCCCGCACTGAGTTGTCTTGTGGTGAGTTGGCCGTGGCAAGTTGTCATAGAAGTGCAACAATGGCATCAGTGGGACACGTTTCATGACATTGCCCCCCCCCCAAAAAAAGCTCTTAGAAAAATGGATTATGTATGCATATATTTGAACATTAAGTAAGCTGATGAAACTAGCCTGTATCGGTTTTTTAAATTTTATTCATCAACATTTTGAATACAGTGTATTGTCAGGGCATATCATTTACAGAAAAGCAAAGAAAGAACAAAAACGAATATTAACATATATACTAATAACAATAGTAATAGTGTAACAGAACTAGATTTCTCTTTATATTAGCTTATTTGTAGTTCTGTTGGTTATATTGGCATATTTATAATTATAAACCATCTTTATGTTTAGTTCATACATAGCAACAATCTTTCTTCATCTAATTTCTACCTCTTATCTCTAACCACTCATAAAATCTATTCCATGTTACGTAATATTCTGTATCTTCTTTGTCCTTTATTTTTAATGTCAATCTATCCATCTCTGCACAGTCTAATATTTTCCGAATTACTGATTTGAAACCAGCCTGTATTGACTAACATCTGTGACACTGCATGTGGTTATCTCCTTATCAACAAAAGCGAGATATGAGACACTTTTCCAGAAGACACAGCAGAACTTTTGGCAATCCTCCAGGAATAAGATGAAAAGCAAAAGAGAAGATGTTGGGAGCTGCCTAATTTTGGCCACCACTGATCATAAAAATTCCCCTCATTGAAGAGAGAGTTCCTGCCATACACCACCTATCAGTAGAGAAGCTACGACAGGGAAAACACTTCATAGGAAAGTGTTCACTTATCATGTAATGGAGACCACGAAATTCATTCTTTCTCAAATGGATTCCAGACTGCTTGGTTTTCTACTCATAATTTCCAGGCTTTTGGCAGAATATCTGGGTATTCTGGGAGTTTTGTGTTCCCAATACATCTGTAAGGTGGACGCAGCAGTTCCCTCTTGCCTTATTTTTTCTTCCAGCTAAAACATGGGGAAATTTACCAGTCCCTTTTGGTCCTTTTTTTCCTATTAAAGAACTATCTCCTCTGCTTCTACCTTCTCTTTAGTGCTTCTAGGGGGAGGTTATCATTCCAGAAGGAGCAACTGGAATCTCTTTTTTTTGGATTCTAGAGCAATGAACACACCAGATTATCTCTCATGTTTATGCTTTATACAGAGTCAGAACAGAGAGTTTTTGAACACTGGTTGCATGTCATCCTTAAGCCATAAAATGAAGCCATAAACACTGGGTTGCTGCCTTTCCTATTTTTAATCAGTTGCAAAATTACAATGTAGCATCTGGTG